TGGTTTCACAATTTTAAGGCAAGATTTTTTTGATATAATATTACGGAAATCCTTGATTTTTATGGATCACAAGATAGTTATTTGAGAAAATCATTTTTTTATATGTTTATCAATAAAATAGTTGAAAGTATTATTATAGCTTCATTAGGATTGTCAGGCAGATAAATTTACCTGTTAAATAGTAGCCGGTAAAAACCGTCAATCCATCGGATAGTTATAATTAGAAAACTCAGGTATTGCTACAAACTTTATTAAATAAACTATTAAATAATAATTGTGAATCATGAATTGATTATTATTTATATAATTGTAACCATTTTAAAAGTAAACCGATATATAGATTATTTGTGTAATAAAGAGATCAATCGTGGCATCAGATATCTCATGTATTCACATTTTTATTAACAATTATCATATTTAATTATCACATTATAATTATATTTAATATTCTTTCAAAATAGATTGTAATAATTACATCATTTTTACATCTTTGCATTTGACATGATTTATTGCATTGATCAACACAACTCTTTCTCACTTTTCAAAAACTCTGCTGAAATATTTGAATTTAATTTCAATTAAAAGTAACTATATCAAATTTCTCAAAGATATTCGTTAATCTTTTAAATATCAAAGTAACAGTTTTAATTGAAAAATCAGTTTTATTATTATTATTAGTAGTTAATTATAATGTACAAACACATTGGTACTATTGTTGGTGTTGTAATGGTCATTTCATTCATAGCAGTTTCGGCGACCAAAAAATATTTGTATGCATATTTATTCTCTGTGTATTATCTTAGTAATCTCTTTAAGCATGTTTTATTTTTTAACCATCTATTTGTGTTTATAGTCAACCTAAAGATAACCAAAATAATGAAAGCGAAAAAAATTAAATTCATAAAAAAGGAACTAATGTTAAAAAACGCCCAACACTCTTATCCCGTGAAGGCCGTGCTCTTTCTTCTCTCTGTTAGTATCAAACAGTTGTTATTTTTATTTATTAAATTAGTTATATATATATATGTATATTATAAATAATTAATATTTTATCTTGATATCTAGGGAATTCCAAACGTCCACTTGGTGAATGCAATAAGCCCTTTAAAAGTTCTCCACTAGTTCCTGATGAAGCAAAACAGGATATTAATATTGTAATCTCAAGAAGATACATAAGACCTGCCAATACTTCCGTTCTTAAAATTTATGATCAGGAGATGAACAATCAAGGAGACGATAATCAATATAACAATGAAGAAAGATACGATGATCTATATGAAGAAATATATGCAAATGGCAACTGTAAAAATGGAGAAAGTAACTCTGTTTGTTATGGGAATTCTCCAGACAAAAAATCAGGTGAACTGTAAGTATAAAATTATAAAAATATATATTTAAGTATTTTAATAAATTTAAACTAATGAATATTTTAATCGTTTATTAGTGTTAAGTGTGACATAACTAATGAAGAAAAATCGAAAGCAGCAAATTATTTGATACATTCATTTGATAATTTTGAACAAATGTTAATTCAAGAAGGATATGATATTGAAATTCAACGACCTTATTCTTAAGATTTTTATATATTTAATTTTTATATTATTTGCACTGAAGTACTCCATATTACCGAACTAAATTTGATATTTCGTCATGAACACGATATTTTAAATTG